AAAAGAATAAATAAACTTTGGTCAGTTTTATTGTTATTACTTTGTTATATTAAAAATTTTATAAATAGACAATTAAACATCTGAACATGGTTTAATTAAAATTACATTTGTTTTCACTTGTAAGGGTAATAACTATCGTAGAAATGGGTTAGTATAATTAATAAATGGCTTTACTGGTGGTGGAGCAAAAGATGGTAGTTGGTAATCTCGTTGAGTATTACGTAAAGAATAAGGATAATCATACTCAGTAGAAGTTCTTCTTCTTTCATCAGGAAGTGTTGCTTCTAAATAAGTAAGTTTAGATATTCTTAAAAGGAGAAATAAGAAAATACAAACCAACAACATTTGCAATTTCATCTAATCCTTGTAATGAAGTATCATTTAACCTTGCTATAGCGTCAATAATTAAATTTTTTCTACGTCCACTTTGATTATAACGATCAATAAAACAAAGAAATCCATTTTCTAAAGAAGAGAGATCATCTTCATTTGATTGTTTTTGTTTTATCTGTTCTAATAAAGCAGTATTTTGAGAGAGAATTGTTAGTAAATTAGTTAGAGTGAATGATTTATTATTTTTATTTTCTTCTAGATAAGTAAGAGTCTTAGGTTTCTTTTCTGTTGAATGAATAACTATATGAGCTTCAGATTTTTTCTTTTTAATTAATTCTTTCTTATGTGGGTCTAGTTTACTTATAGAACGTATAGGTGAAGACAATACATCCCCTATATTTTTTCCTTCAAGTAAGACAGTAACTTTGACCCTAAAAAAGTGGTCTTCATGTTGACTTGATAATACATTTAATTTACATTCAACATTCAATGAATGTTCACTCGCTTGAAGTGCTTTATATTTTATTGGAGGTTGATTTATAAAACTTACTGGTTTTAATTCAGGTGAGTCATAAAGTAATTCACAACAAATTTCTGCACCTTCTAATACTTTTGTATTTGAGGTTACTGTTAATACAAAATTGCATTGTTTAACCACAACAAGAATTTCTTCTCCTTTTACCATTTCTGTCATAACGGAAGTTTGTCTTTCTATGAACAATGTATTCTCACTCATTTGCCAATTTCTTTTTCTTTTTTAAGTAAAAAATTTCTGTTGTTCTTTTTGTTTTTTCTCTTTTCTTTCTTTACTTAAATAGTTTAAAGAATAATTGTTTTTTAATTCTTTCTAATTTTTAATTTAACTTTATAACTGAATTTTCTAAATTCTGAAAAGTAAATCATTAGAAATTTTGTTCATGTTTCATATTTTTATTTTTTGTTTGGTTCATTAAATTTATTATCTTTTTTTTTTTTTGATTCTCTTCTTTTTTTAATTAAAATATTATTTTTATTTTCTTAAAAAGTTATTTTATCTCAATTACTAATTAATAAAACTATTCCTTATTCTTTTACTGTACCTCATCTGTTTTTTCTCTCAAACGAAACTAAAAGAGATTTCTACCGAGAGTTGGGAACGCAGTTTTTATTATAAATTTATGTTATGTAAAACAAAAATAAAATTAAAATAAAAATAAAAAGTTAAAGAAAGAAATAGAGATCAAATGAATGAAGGTGATCTTTTGAGAAAATACATGAGCTGCAAACTGATGTTCTTATAAATGAGGATTGTTTTAATAGTATAAAAAGACAAGTTGAAGAACTTATTATTAATGAAATTGGAATAATTTCATTTGTTCTTGGAGATGAAGAAAATGAGTGGGAACAAATTGTTTTTAAAATCCTTCATACTGACTTTACAGAAAATGAACAAATAAGAAAAAAAGAAAAGTTTAATGATAGTTCAATAAATGAAAGTACAATTACTGTAATGGATGAAGATGATGTATTTTTTGTTGATGAAGAAAGTAGGGTACAAGAAGAAAAAAAACAACAAAAATTAGCTAAAGAAGGAATAAAACAAAAGAAAAACTGCAAACTGTATTACCTTACTATTGATTCTTCTATTTTAAAACATCAAAAAGATTTTTTTGTATTAATAAAGTCTCAACTTGAACAACAACAATTTCTGAATGAAGAATTAAGAAATATGCCAATGCAATTTACTTCATTTATTAATTGGATAAAAGAAATAAATTTTGTTAGAGTAGTATTAATTATTACAAATACTTCTAAACTCCTTAAAAATAATATTGAATTATTTTATGAAATTACAGACGCGTTTCTTACTTTATTAGATAACAATCATTTAACAGTAATATTTACTGCTCTTTCTGATGATATCTTTGCTGATAAAAAAATTTCTTCAAGAATTACATTTGGTAGAGATCCACTTATACTTAAAGGTATTTCTTCTCCTGATGAAATGAAATCATTTCTTTTAAAAACAACATCAATTAATTCTAATGAGTGTTGGAATACATTTACTCAATCAATATTTAATGATAAAGATATTAATGACTTATTTCAATTATGTATTACTATTAATCCAATACGAAATATTGCTATTCATTTACTCCAAATAAATCAAATTAAGTTAATTCATTCAGATAGTTCTTTTATTTCATTTAAAATTCTTACATTATTATATCCTCAACCAATTTGGAATTTAACTCCATACCAATATGTTGTATTAATTGGATTAAACCGACTTTCACAAATATCTTCCTCTCCAATTATTTTAGTATCAGACTTATGTGATTTTCTCTTTAAAAATACAAAAAATATTAATTTGTTACAAAATATTAAACAATCATTTTATTCATTAAAAGATTATCATTACCAAATTTTATTAGAATTACAAACAATTGGTCTTGTTACTGTAAATATTAAGAAATCAACTGTTAATTTAGAAATTACTCAATTAACAATCAATGATATTACAACATCACTTAAATCTAATCCTCTTTTTAAAGAATTAATAGATTGGAATAATAATCTTAACTTAGTTTTCCAAAAATGATGAGTATAATTGAATAAAATTGTTAATTATGTGGTTTTTGAGATATAAACTTCCCAATTGTTTGATCTATATTTTTTTGTTCTTGTGACTCAGAATGGTCAACCCTTTCTTATTAATTCTTATTGGAAATATAAAAATAATAATTTAAAACAAACGTTAGTCTTCTTCCATTTAATTCAATCCCATTAAAATTATCAATAGCTAATACACAACTTCTTGGATCTTTATATTTAAGAAAACAAAATCCTTTGTGCTCATCTTCGTCATTGTTCCATGGCATGTTGATATCAATAACTTCTCCAAATTGTGAAAAAACAATAATTATATCTCCTTCATTTAACTCATTTGCAATACCACCAATATAAATTTCATTATTGTTTTTATATTTATAGTGCCAAGAGTCTTCATATTTGCAACTATATTCTAAATCTTGTTCTGATAATTTACTAATATTTTTTTGTCTTCTTTGGTATGAACTCATTTCAAAATATAATTTTAAGTTTGTTTTGTATAACATAAAAAATAACACAAAAAATAATAAGTTCTAGTAATTGGAAGTTGAGTGGAATTCTTTCTTTCGTGTCAAAAACATTTTTTTCCTTTCTTCACGTTTTTAAAAAGTCAGATGGGAAAAACTAAAAGAATAATAAAAAACCTAGAATGATACAAAGAAATTCACAAAATAATGTTAATTTTTTTTAAAATGAAACTTTACTTTTCAAATAAGAAAATAAATTAATCAATTTTTAATAGTAAAACTGAAGTAAAACTCTAATAACAAAAAATGGTTAAAAAAAGTTTAACTCGTGAACTAGAAATCATAAATTATGAGCAAATTCGTTATACTACCTTTTCTTGCTGCTGTGTTTTTAATTATTGGAGCAATATTAACAATTATTTCTCTCCCACTTCCATGGGCAATGGCCAATGTTAAAGCAGCTAAAGTACATTATTCATTTTATTTACTTGGATGGACAACAGATAATTGTAAAGATGATGAAGGTTCTCGTATTCGTTATGGGTATGGAAATTCTTTTGAATTTCAAGATTTAAAGTCATCAGGTATTTGTGCTATGGTATTTTTAATTATCGGATTAGTTTTTACATTTATTTGTGCACTCTTCTATCTTCTTCACGCATTCGGTCCATGTCAAAAATGCTTAAAGAAAATTAAATTAAATGTAGGAAGAAGAACTTGGATTTTATTAATATTCGCATTCATCGCTCTTGCTATTAATATTGTTGGAATGATTTTGTGGTTAGCTTTATTCTTTGCACACAATGTTTCTGAATGGCTTGCTCAAAGTTCACCAAATCCAAATTATGGTTTCTATATTGAATTAGCTTCAATTGTTGTTACTGCAATTGGAATTCTTGTTGCAATGTTCTGGAAACACAGTTAAGCTATTTGTTTTGTTCTCCTTTTTTAAAGAATTTAATACAAATTTAAAATACAAAAACGATATTTTATGGTTATTTTTATTATTATTTTTATTATTTTATTTTTCTTTAGAAGTATTGCAACTAAAACTATCAAAAACTTTTATGAATAAACTCAAATGTCTTTTTTATTTTTCTTCTTTTTTTCTCTTTTTATTTGGTTCTGGTGCTTTTTCATTCTCCATTGAGAAAAAACATTTTAATAATTCTAATCCCTCTAGTCCCATTAATGAATGGTAACAATAATTTATTTCATGACTTGATTTATAGGGACTTGATTTAATTACTGTCATAACAGATCCACATCCACCAAATCTAGCATTAGAACATCCATAAATAATTTTTGTAATTCCACATTGTTTTAATGCTTCTGCACACATAATACATGGCTCACATGTTACGTAAAGGATACATTCATTTAAACGAATATGTTTTTCAACTAATTGATTAATACAAACTATTTCAGCATGTTGAGTTCCCTATAAATAATGAGGGGAGTCATATCATTGTATTTAATTAATCAAACATCTTGAAATTCTTTTGTATGATTTCTTCCTTTTGCAACAATTTCACCTTTTGAATTAATTACAACACAACCAACAGGAACTTCTCCTATATTTAAAGCTTCTTGTCCCATCTTTAAGGCTTCATTCATATAATATTTATCATCTTGCATTATTTAGTATATTTTTTCTAGTTTTTAAGAATAATGTTTATTTTTTTATGTATTTTTTTATTTATTCTTTTATTATTTACTATGAAAAAAAAATATGCAAGAAATAAACAATATAAGAAATCAATATATAAAACAATGTTCTAATACAAATACATCATTATGATATTGAACAAACAAATAATATCAAAAAGTGATATACAATATCATAAAATATTAGATATATTGTGATAGATAAAAAAAAAGTAAAATTGGTATATTATTTGATATTATTATTATTAAAGATCATAATATTAATGGATATTTGAATAAAAAGAATAAGTATAAATAAATGAAGAATATGATAATTAAAATAAAGAAAATAAAAGATATCAAAATAAATACAATAATTTGAATAAATTAATTAATAAATATAGAAAATATTAAAATAATTAAATAATTAAAAATCAAAATTTACAACATTAAAGAAATTAAAAAGCATGTAATTAAGAATATGATGGATGTCATTGAATATTGCATCCACCACAATCAAACATACACTGTAGAAGTATATGAAGAATACATATTGATAGGATTATTCTCTGGTGAAGTAAGAATAATAAATACAAATTCTATTATTACTTATTTAATTCTTTTTTCTTTTATTTATTATGAAATCTTCTTATGTTATTAATTAATTAAAATTATCACTTAATATTATTCATATTGTTAAATTCAAAAATTGTTTGATAACTTTATACCCTTCATTTAATAACAATATAAAAGTTTCAAATATTAAGTTCATATTTCCCACAAAATACTAATTCTCAAATTAATATGAAATTCAGTACTGTTCAGGTTGTTTTTTATTTTATTAGAAAATATTTTAAAATCATCTTATCTTATTTACTACTTTTAAAATTACATAAATATTACAATTCAGTAAATTAGAAAATGTAATTATTTTTATCTTTCTTTGAACACTTTCTCATCAAATTCTTTTTGTTTTAACACCACCTTTATTGAAGCTGGAAATATTGGTGATTCTTTTT